CATCCTACTGTGTACATGGTGAGCTTCCTGGGGACAGGGACACCCAACACACGCTAAACACCTGTGAGTTTTCTTGAACACTCACATATAGGCACATCATATCAACATATTGAAATCACTGCATGTTTCCAAGTCCATTTTGTAACTCGAGATTTATTAGGATTTTGTTTCAATATGCATGCCTCGTTTCTCTATTAATGGTGCAGTTAGGAAAGAACTAACTTATATGTGCTCATATGTGCAGACAATTCAAAAGCATTGTATTCACTAATATAGTGCCTTTTCCCACTTACTGAGCCAACAGAAGAGTCTTAAAATGCCAAAAGCATAAATGGCACCTGCTAATATCAGGATTTACAAGTCACAGAGCACTTTCACAACTCTTACCTCATTTGATGCTCTAGTAACCCCGTGAAGGTTTTATTATTATCACTTCCATTATAATTATCATTATCATTTCATCATCATTATCATCACCACCACCACCCCTATTATACAGGGGAAAAAGATACTCAAGGCTCATAGAAATTATGTGACCTATTTGTGATCAATGAGTCAGGACTTTTAATTGTATTTGTCAGCCCAATTCAGATAGGTTTATGCAAAAAGGGGAACATAGGAGAAAAGTACAAGGATATGCTGTGTGTCAGGTATGGCTGGATCCAGCACTCTCGGCCCTGTTTTCCTCAATGTTGGCTTCATTTGCAGTCAGGCCCTCCCCTCTTGATGGCAAGATGGCCTTCAGTAAATCCATGATTTTATCTGACCCCTCAGTAGATGTGATACGGAAAAAACATCTCCTTAACAATTACTCCTACAGAAATCCTGGGCCAGATCTCCGTGACCCAGATTAGATCACACCTACGACACTGAAACCATTGAACCCCCAAACCATTGAGGCTGAGAATGGGGGTAAAGCCTGTTTCCAGAAAGGGGGAATGGAAAACTGGGCAGAAGGAATCACAGATGGTCATAAGAGAGTATAGTATAGTTCGTAAGTGACAGAGCTTGGATTTGAGACAAGTTTTAACCTGCAGCCCGATCCACCTGCCCTTCCTCCTCCTCCTCTGCCATTCCAGTACAGTGAATACACAATGCATACATGGAACACAATTCAGGAGATAGAATGTGAGACAGTGAAGTCTCCTTTCTAATCTTGTCTTCATGTTGCTCAATTTCCCTCCTCATTGAACCCACCTGGATACATTTCCCAGCATAGTCTCCACAGTTACAAGCATCTATAAAAATCACTTTGACATCAGTGATACCACACTACTCTCACTGTTCTGCCCCGTGCTTTTTTTTTTTTTCAAGATTTTATTTATTTATTTATTTATTTTTAAGAGAGAGAGGGACAGAGAGAAGAGGAAGGGGGGGAACTGAGAGCATCTTAAGCAGGCCCCTCACCCAGCACAGAGCGCCACGTAGAGCTCGCGATCTCACAACCCAGAGATCATGACTTGAGCTAAAACCAAGAGTTGGTCGCCTATCTGACTGAGCCCCCCAGACACCCCTGTCCTGTGCTTTTTTTTACTTCCACTGTATCATGCCTTTGTGGTTCTCTGACTTCAATGACTTCAGCTACCCAGCCACAGTAGCATTTCCACCCTAGAGTTTTTCTTATTTCCCTTTTCTTCCTCCCCCCACTCCTGCCCTCCCCTATTTCTACTTCATCTCTTCACCTTTGTCTCCTTCCATACATTTACAAATTGATGAAGTACTTATTGGAGTTGAAATTGCTTTTGAAAAAATGGCTTACATGAAATATGCGAAAATGGTTCTTTTGTAGTATGTTATCAGCAAAGTCTTTCACCCTCACAGTTGCTGGTTGGTTCAGGCATTGAGAAAATAAAGGGGCTTTAGCAGATGTTTGTAGCTCTAGTGATGATCCTAACTCCTATCAACGTAGGCTCCTGAACATGGGCCTCTTGGGGCTCTTTTAGGTACAGCAGAGGTAGAGGGATCACAGGGGATGGAGTTATCAGGTTTGCCCCAAGGCATCCAAGATCTTGCAGAAGACTCATGCCGCTCTCCCCAAAGTTATCCTTTTTCCATTCCATGATGTTAGAAATAGTGAGATCCGAGAATTTACTTTTCCAGTAAGTTCTCCGGGTGGTGCAGCTGCTGCCAGTCAGCCGCGCTTCGAGAACCACCACTAAAAGTATAGGACCTGCTAGTTTGCCCCAGAAATAGCCCAAGATCCTCCCTGTACTTCAGGCAACAACAGCCAACGAAAACAAAAACTCACACTTTTGGCTGGGATAAAAGTAAGTCGTGGTGACAGAAATCCGAATAGTGGTGATTTGGTGAGGGGTGGGGCGGTAATAGCTGGAAAGGGGGCTGGAAGCGGACTTCTGGGCCGCGTGTAGTGTTCCGTTCCTTGATCTGAATGGTGGTTCCACAAATGCATTCCCTTTGCAAAAGTACATTTGTGCACTGCGATTTGTACACTTTTCTGTCTGTAGGTTATACTTAAAAAGTTTACTTAAAAATTAATGATGATAAATGCTGTTAGGGCCCTGGAGAAACGGGCCTCTGTAGAAACGGGCCTCTGTATCATTAGCCTGTACGTTTGTTTACAAGTCAGCTTTCCTCTGGGGGTAGGCCGACAATCCAACAAAGATGTTCTTTGTTTCCTTTCTTCCTTGCTGGCATCATGTGCATATATGTGTGTGATAACCTGGGGGGTGGCGGCTTCCCAAATCATCATTTGTTTAAAAACAAATGCACCTCTTCAAAAGAAAATATTGTAAATGAAATAGTTGCAGGTTTTAAATTTCTAGAATAACAGATCATGTTAGAATAATTTGAAAAGCATGCTGAGGGGCACCTGGCTGGCTCAGTCAGGGGAGCATGCAAGTCTTGATCTTGGGGGTTGTGGGCTTGAGCCCCACGGGGGGGAAAGGGATAACTTAAAAATAAAATCTTGGGGTGCCTGGGTGGCTCAGTTGGTGAGGTGTCCAACTCAATCTCAGTTCAAATCTTGAGCTCAGTGTCATGAGTTTGAGCCCCACGTTGGGCTCTATGCTGGACATGGGGCCTACTTAAAAAATAAATAAAGTAAAAATTTTGAAAAAGAAAAGTGCTTTGAGCTCTCATTAATGCATTTTGAGAACCCTGGTTGGTATTTGGCTATGTAACTTTACTGAAGAGGGAGAACTGTGGGCAAGAACTACCTCCCATTTCTTTGAAAAGTGCCCAAGAGGCATGAGATGTTTTTCTTCTGAGGACAGATGTCACCTAAAGAATTCCCTGTTTTATCACAAAAAAACCTTTGGAGTCTTAGGAGTCTTGTTTTGCAAATTTTTGACCAAAAAAAAAAAAAAATGCTAATTTTTGCTAAAACTCCCCCAGAGACATTCCACTTTCAAATCATTCCTTTTCTACAATTTTAGTTTATGAGCAAAACAGTTTACTCACTCTAAAAGTTTGGTTTTGAATGTTGAGGCCAGGTTGCATTGGGACTTCTGATTTTCAGGTGATCTGCAATATTGTTATTTTGAAACTCAGGAGCTAAGGCCACTACTGAGCATGAGAGTGGGACTTCAGACAGCTGTGGAAGAAAATGAGTGCCCCCTGTGGGATGTTGTCCCACCTAAAGGAGAGGTACTGTAATACAGTAGCCAAATTGATGGGATTTTGAGCCTAACCAACATAGGTTTGAATCCTAGCATCACTGTGTGGCCTTGGGTAAATTCTCTCTCCCTCCAAACTTTAGTTTTTTCTTCTATTAAATAGGATTAATAATAACAGTCCTAGGGATATTAGGAGAAACACATATATAAATAGTAAGTATTCAGTGCATGGTAGCATAATAATTAAGGGATGAAATAACAAATGGATCATTTTTATTCAGTTTTGATTTTCCCAATTCCTATATATTTCTGATGCAAAAGTGAATGTAAAATATTTATTTGCATGCATACATGAATGAATAAATGCAATAAAAATTAGCTGTCTAAAAAGTATAGGTGTGAAGGACAGGTTATTGGTTGCCAGGGATTTGGGATTACAGTGGCGAGCAGAGCACTGTAACTATCAGGGGTAGCTGGAGGGAGGGCTTTGTGGGGCTAGAATAGTCCTGTATTCTGAGTGCTGTGATTCCCAGGTGATAAAATGACATAGAACCACACACCTACATTGTACCAATGTCAGTTTCCTGGTTTTGATATTGTAGGGTATAATGGACGGAGAGTCCATTATACTGTCTATATATACTATTTTTGCAATGTCATGTTAATCTAGGAGTACTTCAAAAAAATATCTATCTAGAACTTCCTTCTTTTACCACAATCACAGTATGCAAATCTCACTTTGTATCTCGGGGTGGTCTCTGTGCAGTTCTGGTGTAAGCTTTGGTGTTTGACTTTTGCTTTCTTTTCTTATTCGGCTTTAAAAGAGCTCTTAGTGTGCCTCTCTCCCCCACTGTGACCCCATCCTAGGCCCATTCGCTTCTTCATTACACATGTCCAAGGGTTAAATGTTGGGTAAGTGTGCCACCGACAGGATTTCTAAGGAATGCAAAGTTTGGTCATCTTTGGTTCTTAAATTTCACAATTAACACTGAGCAGTAGGATTAAGCATGTGGCTGGATATTTCAGTCTACTTTCTGCACTAGCAGCAAACGTGTGTACATTATTAAAATCCTCTGTGGATTGAGAGGTAAAGCAAATCAGTATCAGCTCACAGTTTGGAAGTCTTGATATGATACTATTGATAAGCCAGTCAGCTGAATAATAGGAAAACCAGACATCCTTAGTTCAGGTGATCTGATGGTTGAATAACTGTGTTCCCAAAATCTAGACCAATGCCTAAGCACTCAGTGGATGTTTGTGGATGAACAAATGGGTGAATGAATGAAAGAAACATTAAGATACACCATGCAAAGCTGACAAAGTCCAAAAGTAAGAGTACAGAATTAATTCACCTCTGTGGCCTAGGACTTGACAAAGCATGACCTACCAGGAAATGTTCTAACCCTTCTCTCTCTGCTTCTCTAGGCAGCTTGAAATCCACTCTCCAGATGCTAAGCACACAGTGATCCTAAGGAGCAAGGATTCAGCCACTGCCCAGGCCTGGTTCAGTGCCATCCATTCCAATGTTAGTGACCTGCTGACCCAAGTGATTGCTGAGGTCAGAGAGCAGCTGGGGAAAACAGGCATTGCTGGGAGCCGAGAGATCAGGCATCTTGGCTGGCTTGCAGATAAGGTAAGGAAAATGCTCCCCCAGGAGTAGACATTTCCCCCCCGGCTTCCCCCAGCACTTGTTGCAACCATAAAGTCAGTTACCTCATTCCATAGGCTGGATCTCTCATTCACAGGCTATTTGGACTTCCTGTCCATCTCTAGCAGGCTTGTGTTATACATGGGGAGCTGTGTCCTAATCTGCTTTGATTCCCCGACATAGAGTCCAATACGTTGCAAATTACAGGTGGTCACAGATTGTTTGTCAAACGGATGAATGAGTGAGTAGATGCGTAGTTTGTCACACGTATGGAAGTCAGGGAAAATAACTCAATGCCCAAAGGAGCGTTTGCCTTGTGAGATAAGGAAGTGGAAAAGGTTGCTTAAAAAGGGGGTTTCTGTGAGTTTTCATGAACCTACTTGTTAATAACGTAGATACATTCATTTACAAATAATCGCAATAACAGCAAGGAGTTCTTAGCAACTACCGGGTGTGGGCTCTTTTGATGTATTATCTTCTATTTTATCTCTATTCTTAAGCCAGCAGGCCCTGAAGGTCATCATTTGTGAGCACCTATTGTGTGCAAGGCATGGTACTAGGCAGGAGTGAAGTGTATAAGGATGAATGAAGATTTAATCTTTGTTCTCAGGGAGGACAGCTACTGTGGAAAAGGACCTGGGGTCATGTTAACACTGTCACTCTGATTTCTTTTCCCAAGCTACATGATACGTTGAAGATGGTAAAACTCACTTTGCAGCGGTCTGCTGGGAGGTAACCCTTCTCTTCGTTTCAAAGGGTTGAGCCTTTGCCATTATCCCTATACCTGATTGCTGTCCCTTCAACTTGATCTTGAGTGCTCAGGAACACCGGGCTTTTGGAACAGTCTGACCTCCCAGTGGCTCACATTGTAATAGGCGGTAAATGGGAATAATGATTGTCGCAATAAACAGCCTTTCTGCCAGTGAACCATGTCATCTGAGACGGCCCAGGCAAACAGCACTTGAAAATAATACTTGAACACAGCATTAGGCTATTTTCCACCATTGTGCTTTGATTGCACCAGTTCATGCCTGAGTCTCAGCCACAGAGTTCAGCACGGAGTGGGTTGTTTGATTTGGTGTTGTCCCATCTCTCACAGATTTCAAAGGATCAAAGGAACAATGCAGATGGTGGTAGCCCCCAGAGTGTAATAAACAAAAACCATAGGTAGCCTCTCGTGACCTGGGTGCTGGGGTTCTCAATGAAAACGATACTGCAGATCAGGGTGACATCATTTTAGAAGTCAACAGTCTCTAATACTCTCTACTTTTTACTTCCTCCAACTGTGTGGGGGATATTTTCATTGCAAATGATAGAAAGCTCACCTCAGCTTGAGCAAAAAAGGGATGTATTACTTTTGAGAAAAGTGAACAGTACCCAAGGATCAGCTTCAGCCATGGCGGGATCCAGGGATCCAAATAATGATATTAGGCCTGCTTCTCCATCTTTTTGCACCCGGCCCACTTCATTGGTGTACCTGTAGGCAAGCCTTTGCCCTTGGCCCAACAGTTCCAGGCTTGTGTTTTCCCTTATGGCCTACCTGTCCGCCTGAATAAAAGAGCCTCTTTGCCCTCCCGGTTGCAACAGAAGTCCTGAGATGAAGCCTCCTTGAACTGACTTAGATCAGATGTTCACCCTGGGTTGTGCTGAGATCGGCCTCATCCGAACCTTGTGCCCTGAGAGATGAGGAGAGGTGGTTCTCTAATGGAAAGGTTGGCTGCCGTGCAAGGAAGAGACTGAATGGATTCTGGGGCAGGCAAAGCAACAGACATTACCTGCTATAGGAGGAGGAAAGGACTGCGATGGAAAGAGGCCCTCACTTGCTTAAGGGCCCGAGTAGATGGGCAGATGTTCTGGAGATCTCAGGGTCCTGGCGGGAAATGGATGGCAAACTCAAAAGCGATGATTGGAAAGGATTTAATGAAGGGATAATTTGTAAGGTGTGGCCAAGGTAAGGAAGACCAAGAAGAGATGGAGAAGCACTCCAGAGCTGCCAACAACAAGAGGCCACAGCCACCCCTTAATCTGAAATGGCAAGGAAAAGGAGCAGTTAGCCGAAACTAGCAAGACTGGTAGCTATAGAAAAGGGCCACCACTAAGAGCTGTGGTCTTTGGGAGGGAAGCCCAACCCCCGTGACCCCGCCCCCTGATCTCCTGCTGGTGTCTCCCATTGGATGAGGCTGATGGGAAGCCAGAGGCAAGGGAGCCCCATTGATGTATTCTGATAAGCCCTGTCTCCAAAGGCACAAGCAGGGTCTGGAAAAGGGTGGAGAGCCAGACCTGGAGGGGCGAAGGGAGCTGTCCTGCACACATATCCCTCTACCTCCAAGTCCAAGGGAGTGAGCTGCTCTCAACTCCTAGAGGTGTTGTTTTTTTTTCTTTGTCATCTCTTTTAACACAAACTTCATTACTCTTTGCACAGTTGGAAAATACAGTCGTATCATTACTAATGATGTTGAAATTTTTTCCAAAGTTTCCATTTCCTCGCTTGTAAGTTGTCTGCTTATACCATATTATCAGTAGACACATTATCAGGCATTCCCATGGAGCACTAATAGAGGCTCATAAAAACCTCTTTTTGGTTTTAGAATAGTACTGTTCTTACAATTTCAGGTAACCATTACAGATGTTTCTTCAAGTTGTATTATGTGTTGTATTCCTACGAGCAGTAATGACTTACCATGGACAGTTATCAGAAGCAGGAATGTCTTTTATTGCCTTCTGCTTCCGAACTTCTTAAAAGATTACCATAGATCAAGTCCTAGGGAAAAAAATCCAAGCTGGAATCTTTTTTGATTAAATATTTAATACTGAATCCTAGTGTGGAGGCATACAAATGGTTTTCAGCAAAATGTTACAATGAATGGCAAATCCTTAATACTGTGGCCTTCTTATCACAAATATCAGAGAATTTGCTTGGTATTTGTAAAGATATAAAGTGTGATCCTATATATATCCGGCTGTAATTTACCTTAAATTGATGTCCTTTGTCTTTTCCTATGCTGTTAATCTTTGATTTTGTGATTAATAGCAGCTCTGGGACATGATTTGTACATATTAAATTTAATTTCAGATTTTTAGAACGGGCATTTACATGAACTAAAACAATATGAAACAACAACAACTTCCCTTTTAAAATCCCTGTCTATGCTAATCCTAAAACCTCCTCTATACTACACAGGAGGAAAACTTTATATTAACGTTATTCTTCCCTGTGAGATAGTCTGAGGACTGGAAGAATGGCTCCCACAAAATGGCTAGTCCTTGAGGCAGTGGGGAGAATTCAGTGCACTCCAAGAGAGGAGAATGCACATGGAAAAAGTTGGAGGTAATCGATTACCTCTGCACACTTGTATTTTACCTTGGTAAAAGGTAATCGATTACCTCTGCACACTTGTATTTTACCTTGGTAAAAGGTAATCGATTACCTCTACACACTTGTATATTACCACTACAGCTTGTAGTGAAGGCATGCTAGAGACTGATCTAAAGGGAGGCAAGTGTTCATCAAACACATCTGGTACCTTGATAACATCCGATTTTGGAAGATCTTGAAAGCTGGATGGATGATTTGAATTTGATTTGGTGGGCAATAGGGAACCTTCATATACAGTATCAGAGAGAAGGGACTCAGAGGTAATTGCTAGGGACTGAACATTCCTGTCCCCCCCAAATCCATATGTTGAAGCCCTCATCCTCAACGTGATGATATTTGAAGGTTGGGCCTTTGGGAGGTAATGAGGCTTGGATGAGGTCATGAGCACAGAGTGCCCACGATGGGATTGGTGCTTTTCTTGGGGATGAAGAGACCAGAGCACACTCTTTCTACCATGTGAGGATACATCAAGAAGGTAGCTCTCCCCAGGCCAGGAAGAGGGCCCTCACCGGAACCCCATGTCGGTACCCTGATCTTACACTTCCAGCCTCCAGAACTATGAGAAATAAGTGTTTGTTGTTTAAGCCACCCAGTCTATGGTGTTCTGTGATAGCAGCCTGAACCATGACAGTGGTTTAAACCGACTTCTTCTTTGTATAGATGATGACCCAGAGAATGGAAAGTGTTTGATCTAAAGTCACACTCTAAATCAAGATACAGGAATAATTGCAGAGTAGAACAATATGGTGCTATCATTATTTATTTAATTTTTAAAAGAATCCAGTGCAGCTTATTCGTTGCAATTGATTTTAGTCTTTCCTTGAACTCTCATAGCCATTCTCTGGACTCCCTACAGTATCAAGGTCAGCAATGGGCCAACAGCCATTTTTGTTGTTGTTGTTGTTGTTTCCTTCACTTCCTGGTCCTCTGAACTACGACAGTAACAGTCCGGTCCCTGTGCTTCTTTCCCTGTGAGTACCCTCACCTGTAGATGAGGGTATTTTCCCTTGTTCTTAGTGGTCTTAAACCTTTTACCTCTTTCCAGGCCCCAGTCTATCCCCAAAGGGCCTATCAATGCTAATTTTCACCCGGAACTGTAAAATATAATATGCCCCAAACACAGTTTTTCAGTCATTGTTCTTTAATCTTTTTGTAGTTATTATTACTGATGTGTTTTCCACGGTCCAATTTCAGACAAGAGAAAAACAAACTAGGCTCTGACTCTCTTGCTACTTAGAAAAACACTAATCAACAGGGACAGGCAGAATTGTTGGATTCTGTTTTGTACTCAGTTAATCAGGTGTTGCCTTTGCTTTACCTTGTTATCTTAGTTTGCAAACTGTTTCTTGTCAGATTAAAAACACAAAAACACAACACAAGGAAACAAACAAACAACCCAGTTGGGAGCTCTGAGATGCAAATTCAGTTCTCAGCTTTGCTCATTTCCACTTCAAATTTTTAAAAATGGGAACTTTTATACAGCTCTGCCTCCCTAGGGTGCTACTGGAGGAAGGGAAGTTGGTAATTAGTATTTATTGTGTGCCTAGTCTGTCGCAGGCAATGTGCTTTAAATAATTCCTATCCTATGAGGCAAGCTTGCAGAAGTTGA